TTCCATACTGTTTTCCATAATGGCTATACCACTTTACATTTCCACCAACAGTGCACAAGGTTCTCTTTTATCCATGCCCCCACTACCACTTGTTATTTCTTGTGTTTTTGAAATAGCCATCATAATAATTGTGAAGTGATATGGCATTGTGGTTTTGACTTTGCATTTCCCTAAGGATTAGTGATAGTGAGCAACTTTTCATATACCTGCTGGCCATTTGTATGTCTTCTCAGGAAAATGTCTATCTAGGTCCTTTGCTCATTATTTAATAAAGTTTTATGTTGTTTTTGTTATTGAGTTGTATTAATTGTTTATATATTTTGGAATTAACCCCTTGTCAGATACATGGTATTTACATGTTTTATTCTATTCAATAGGTTGTTTCTTTACTCTGTTGATTGTTCCTTTTATTGTGCCAAAGCTCTTTAGTTTGATGTAGTCTCAGTTATTTATTTTTGTTTTCGTTGCCTGTGCTCTTGGTGTTATATCCAAGAAAAAAATCATTGCCAAGACCAAAGTCAAGAAGCTCTCCCCCTATATTTTAGTACACAACAAATTCTGGTACCTCATTGAAATTTTCCACTTGGCTTTATTTAGACACAAGGGTAGCAGGAAATCAATGTCTAAATTATCTCTGATTTCATTATGCATATAGGAATACTCAAGGATTTTGAGGAAGAAACCATCAGGAGAGCAGTTTACCTGGCAATTCCCTTCTATTGGGAAATTCCTTTCTATTGAGTTATGGATTGTGGTATCACATGGAGGAAAATAAAGGTTTTTTGGCTGAAGATCTGAGGATGATACTCATTGCTAGAACATAGGGTGATGTCTATGAATTATTAAATATACCTACTACTTATGAAGCTTGTTTACTCTGAAGGAAATATTATGTAAGAGTGGTAGTAGGCTTAAGGTTCATATTATAGTGCTGGCATCAAGATAAAATTTATTCAAGATTGGCCTTAAATTTTGAGAAATTTCTTCGTATGAGTTTTAGGGGGAAAAATGGGAAATTTGGTGATTTTTTTTAATTCTTTGGAGCAGATTTGTTGATTACTCATATTTTTCCCTTTGTTTTCTTAACTAGCACTGGACATTTTTCCAATATATTTTTAGTTCAGAGTTTTAAAAATGTATTTTTATAGACTACTTCTTCTAGTGTTTAATGACTGAGCTGGGGAATATCTTTATGATTTTTTTTTTCTCTCTATAGGCCATCAATTTATTTTGAGTCTTTTTTGTTTTTTTGACAGAGTCTCACTCTGTTGTCCAGGTTAGAGTGCCATGGCATCAGCCTACCTCACAGCAACCTCAAACTCCTGGGCTCAAGCAATCCTTTTGCCTCAGCCTCCCAATATTTTGACTCTTTTTTTTAACTTTTTTTAAAAAATTTTAGTGTATTATGGGGGTACAAATGTTTAGGTTACATATGTTACCCTTGTTCCCCCTTCCCCCTCGAGTCAGAGCTTCAAGTGTGTCCATCCCCTAGATGGTGCACATTGCACTCATTATGTATGCATGTACCCATACCCTCCTCCCCCATCCCATCTGCCCATGCTGGGTAAATGATATTCCTATATATTCACTTAGGTGTTGATCAGTGAAACCAGTTTGCTTGTGAGTACATGCGGTGTTTATTTTTCCATTCTTGGGATACTTCACTTAGTAGAATGTACTTTGCATCTTATACTGTCTCTCTTCTAATGATATTTGAAAATTTTCAGAGAAATATAAGAGGTGTGTAAATGGGGCTTTGTCCAAGTCTAGTTTTTGCTTGCATTTAACTCTTTTTCCAATCTCTGCCTTAAGACCCTTGGTAAAATGTAAGGTGAGAGAAGAAAACATGCATGCTTGAGAGTTTATCCTGAATATGTAAAGGTTTCAAGATGCCTATCTTTAAAGTTTCCAATGTACTCATTCTTTTGTTGCTTACAGGACTGAATCATAGCCCAATCTTTTTTTATAAGTAAGACTTTAGGAGCAAGCTACTATATTAGTCCATTTCATGTTGCTATAACAGAATACCTGAGAGTTGGTGATTTATAAAGAAAATATGTTTATTTAGTTCATGGTTCTAGTGGCTGGAAAATCCAGAATTGGTCAGATGCTTCTGGTGCGGGTCTCAGGATGCTTCCACTCATGGTGGAAAGTAGAAGGAAATCTGATGTGTGCAAAAAGATCACATAGTGAGAGAGGAAGTGTAAGAGAAAAATCTGGGGAAGTCAGACTCTTTATAACAACCTGCTTTCTTGGGATTATTTCCCAAGCCATTTATGAGGGATCTGCCCCCAAGAAGAAAGTACACAATTTTGGATTAGAGCATAAATATATGTACAAAGCAGAAATTATGGTTGAGAGGGCATGAAATCAGAGTTATACTAATAAAAACTAAGTTTGGGAAAGGTAGTATGAAGTTTTGTTGGATATTTTATACTTCAAGTTTCTCACCCTAGTGTATGAGTGAACTACAACTGCAAAAAACACAATAAATTTGCAATTTTCACCAGACAAAGGTTTGGAGAGGAGACTCCTCAGAACCACTTAACAGACAATACAAGCTCATTGACATGTTTTATAACGTGGTTATTCATGACCTGAGGCAAAGTTTTCCGAAAGTTGCTCACCTGAGAAGAAATCGTCTAAACTTCTCAGACTCAAAGGCTGACCTGAGGAATGGCATTATCTGGGCCTACAGATAATGCTATTTCCTAGAAGAACTCCTCTTCTAGACATACAGCAAATAATGACAAAGACAGGAAGAGAGAAAAAGTAGTGTTGTTAGTAAATAAAGAATTCCACTGAAGATAAAGTTTTAAAACTCTGATCATATTTTTAAAGCATTCCTCAAATTGGTTCCTCATTCCCAGGAAACAAAGTAAACTCACATTTAAGGAGCTCAATAAAAGAAAACATTTTTTAAAAAGACTCGACCCAATAAAAGACTTATTTAATTGTGGCTGTCAAAGTGATTCCTAAAGGCTCAAGAGACTTCAGAGAAGCAAACTATTACCAAGATTAGGATCTTAGGCTATGGCTATAAGAACATCTCAATGGGATCTTGGTAGAACCAAAAGATCATTGAATGATAGCTCCCAGAATATACCACCAAAACAACCTGTTATGGCAAATCCAAGTGTATTCTTACTGCAATAAGAAAGATCACTACCTGGGCAGAGATTGTTACATCTCTGAGTGAGGAGAATAAAGTCCAGGACATTTATGAGGTTTTGTAGTCTTGTTTAACTTGAGATCTCCAATATGGGGGCTTGATTAGGATGATGATATAATATTGAAGATTGGTGGACATAGTAATCTTTTTAATTTTTATGTAGTCTTATAATCTCTTATAGTTTCTTGTATATTTATTATATTAACTATCATGCAATGTATTTGAAACAATAGGACCCTATTGATAAAATTTTGTAATGTTTATATCACTTAAATTTGAAATGTAATATTTAGTAACCTCATTTAAAATTATTTATTGACTTACAGAACAGTGGTGTGAAGAGTCCTGTGAATATGTTCCTCAGTGAAACAATCATAATTGGTGAAAGAATTTAAAAACAATATAAAGCCTTTGGAAATTGTCATAAGGGCACATAGTGAATAAAAAAAACTCTTTCTTTAGTATGTAAATGCCTTTATTTGAACTACTACATTGCTATCAGATTACATCACTTTTCAGAGTTAGAGTAACATGATCTTGAAAACTATAGCAAACAGCTTGACAAAGCAGGAGTGCATTAAGTCCTACATATATAATTTTATGTTTAGTGACATCTTGTTTTAGGTGGAAAATTAAAAAATATATCGTACACTTAGCATACTTGGCCTACCGAATCCTGTCTAAGTTCTGAGCACACTCTCTCCTTAAGTGTCATATTCAACAGCATTTTAAATTTAAAGAGAGAGTTTTATGGTATAGGTTTTTTTTTTTTTTTTTTTTTTTGAGACAGAGTCTCACTTTGTTGCCCAGGCTAGAGTGAGTGCCGTGGCGTCAGCCTCGCTCACAGCAACCTCAAACTCCTGGGCTCAAGCGATCCTCCTGCCTCAGCCTCCCGAGTAGCTGGGACTACAGGCATGCGCCACCATGCCCGGCTAATTTTTTATATATATATCAGTTGGCCAATTAATTTCTTTCTATTTATAGTAGAGACGGGGTCTCGCTCAGGCTGGTTTTGAACTCCTGACCTTGAGCAATCCGCCCGCCTCGGCCTCCCAAGAGCTAGGATTACAGGCGTGAGCCACAGCGCCCGGCCTATGGTATAGGTTTTTAAAACAAATAAGCATGTATTGAACCAAGTGATTTAAAAAAAAAATATTTCAAATGTTTACAGCTTGGGTGTGAGAGGGAAGATGCAAATTTAAGGTACATTTTCCCCTCTACCTACAATGTGTGTTTTCACTTACTTGAAGACTCCTTAAAAAAAGTAGCAAAATCAGCAGTCTTGTTTAATGTAATCAAAATATTCTTAAATGTACAAATAAGGATAATGTAGAAAGGATACTGTAAAAGGATACCAATCTTAAGAATAAAAGAATAAGAAAATCTTCTATTACATTCTGCACAGCCAGTTACTTCGGCAAATTTTCAGTACTACAAAGATAAGCAAAGGATACTCATATCTAAATACCCTCTGACCACAGTTTTCAAATGAGAACTAGCACATTGGATGGAAAGCAAATTACTGTATAATAATATTCATATCCAATCATCTAAGCAAGACCCAAGACAGGGACATTCTAAGAGGGAAAAAGATATATAATGAGAAATAACATACAGCAATGGGCAATGCCAAGGGCAGCATTCTAGGAGGAAATGAGTAAAACAGTTTGGCTATGAGCATATTTCAGGTGTGCCTGACAAATCCAACTTTGAATATGGGAAAGAGGTGTTGTTTTTATTCCAATTCTTTCCCCTGAGGGCTCTCTTGATGAGCTAGTCTTGTTAATCAAAACTACATGTCCTTTGAATGTCCAAGAGTTTCTTAAGCCATGAGCACTTCACATGGAAATAGCTGACCTGTGAAGCATGCACCTGGGAGCAAGGTTGTTTTATTCAGATTGGTTATTTTACACTCTCTTCATTCCCCTGCCCATCAAACATGCAAACACGGTCATAACCATCTTGGGCTTTACTTCCACAAGGTCTTCAGGGAGAGCATACACTCTGGCTCCAATTATTCTAGCCATTGACACTGCGTACTTGGCATTATTGTGCTTGTCATCTTCTGTTAGATTACTGCTCTTAACAAGGTCATAGTTTATGCAGCCTGGCTGGATGGCATTAATTAAATCCACAACTGCCAAACTGAAGCTGATCATCTTATCCTTAAAACTCTGAATGGAAGTTGATTTTCCAGCTTCACTCAATGTTCTATTCACCCAGTTCACAATGATGCCATCGTTAGCTTTCTGACCTTCTCCGAGATCTTCCAGGACAATGAGGGTATATCTTCTCATCAGCTGCTAGATTAAGGCTAAAGTCAGAGTTGGGTTCCCAGTATTCAGGTCTTGCCCTCCAATGCTAACCAGGGAGAATTTAGCAGGATGCTTCCCTAATTCAACAGCGTAGTTGCAGTTTTCTAGCTTTCTCATGTTGGCTCCAACTTTCGAGTATGGAGGTTTGTAAACCTTACTCCAGTCAACAGGAACTTTCATTCATTCATGTAACTGTAAGATTACCAGGGCATCTTGCAGGTCAGCATAGAGATGGTTTACGGGGGGATTAACACTGAGAGAGTTCATCCAGTTGCAGAAGGTTCTTTCTTCACAAGTTTCTTCTAATAGAGTCCAGTCAATATCCTTGTTCTCTGGCTTATTTAGTGCCAGGTATTTATTAAACAGGTTAGCCACAAAGGCTAAGTTGAGTTTGGGGTTTCCACCGACAACATCAGCAAGGGTAACAAACTGTCTGCAACCTAATTTATCTGGTTGTTGAAGCATACTCTCAGCTCGCTTCAAATCATCTGTTTCATTGAAACCTGACATATTAATATCTATCTGTGATTCACCTTCCTTTTGTCCTTTTGGTGCAATTTGATTGAGAAGATGGAAATAGGCTTTGGAATCCTTGATGTCAGCACTGAAGTTGTTGATTTTTTTTTTGCCAGCCTGAGTTTTCCAAATGAAAGTATACCCATCTGAGCAGATGTTCTTCTGGAGATAATTTCATAAGCTCCTCCAAAGTCTCACCATCTCGAAGTAAGGCAGCCAAAGCTTCATTCCTGCTTAATTCAATGTCAGTGAACAAACCAATCTTAATGATTTGCCAAAGTAGTCCCCAAACCAGATGAGGTTTTCCAGCCCACAAATCCTCTGAACCAATGTTCACAACGTGACACCCAGTGGCAGAAGCAGAGTTCAGTGCCAAGTTCAAGTTTTCCTGAATGATGGAGGGTGTAAGTTTCTTCTTGTTGATTATTCTTTTCTCAATTGTATCAGGAACTGAAAGGTTGATCATTTTACAAAGCACAATTCCATCACCAACAGCTTTGAACAGGTTATCAGTGTTTGGGTTCATTGGTATAACAGGTGCAATTGGGATCATTTTCCAAAGCTTTATTTATCCAGTTAATAAAAGCATATTTTTATTCTGCTGAGTAAGAATGCTGTGTTCCTTTGCTGGACAACTCTGATGTTCGTCCAAGAGCACAAATACCTTCTTTCCTGTTGATTGCTTTGCGGAAGGTCTTGGCAATATCGCTGCTTTTTACCTCTTGAAAAATATAAACAAATTCATCAAAACTTATCTTCCCATCCTTATTCCTGTCACCATCCAGCATGAGTTTCTGAATAATTTATCTCACTTTATATCCTGGTAATGACATATTAGCTTCCTTGAAAAGCCCATGAAGTTCATAGTCACGAATGAATCCATTGCTGTTGAGATCTCTTCAGGCTTTAGTTTTCTTATCTGTAAAAGGAGTGCTTTGAACCAAATGATCTCTGAAGTTCCTTTTCCACTCTGTCACTCTCTGGTTCAACTTTTGGAAAGGCCTCTTTGAGTTCATCAAGTTCATCTTTGGAAATGTAAGTGGTAGCCATTTCATCCATTTAAAGATCTATGATACTGAAATGCCACCAAAGTTGGACAACTTCTCAGTAGATAAATTAAGTAAAAACATCTTTCAGAGTAGTCTCAGAATGTAAAGTCGCAGAGTCCCGGAGCTGGCCTGACAACCTCCAACCAACGAACTCAGACAACTTCTGCCAAGAAGCTCTTATTTGAGAAAATTAACTGAATATCAGTAAAACCAGTGAGTTTGTGGAACTTGACACATGACCTATTCTCTCATTCTTCTCCACCTCATCTTATAAGCTTCAATTTATGCAGGAATGGCCAGGAAAAGGGCTAATTCTCTTTTCAGATACAAAACAAGGAATATTGTGTCTCACTGGGAGGGCCAGGATGTCATCATTTTCACACTGTTTAAATTGAAGATGCTAAATTCCTGGTGAGTTCTGATGAGAGGTTGGGGGCTCATATCCTTCACCCAACCCCTATTCATGAGGGGAGGCTCTACTACAGTTGTGGCAGACTGAGAATACTGGGGTCCTTCTTGTCTTCCACCCAGTTCACTCACAGGACAGAAGTATCATACCAGAGATGGTCCAAAATGAGGAAATTTTACTGCCTCTACTCAGCACCTGGAACAGGTGCTCACAGATTTTACCCAAGGAGAGAGGCAGATCATAAGAACAACAACTCAAAAGGTCTTTCCAGAGAAATTCACTTTATTTTTCACAGTTTGAGGAAGTTCAAACTTAAGGGCACTCTCAAAAACAAAGAATTTCATGGCAAACAATTAAAAGGAGATGAGTAGCTATGTAAGAGCAACAAGTCAAACCATAGGCAAGCTAGTTTACTAAGAAGAAGAAGAAGATAAAGTTGTGGCACAGAAGAGTCCTCCTGAGGTTAAAACATTCTCAAAGACAAACCTGAAAAACTCCTGCCTGAGTTGAATTGTATCACTCTGCAGAGCAATTCCCCCCTACCCCAGGGCATGGTTGAGCCTATTGAGCAATTAGTTGGCAATTAGTGGAGAATAACAGCTGGGTGTGATACCCACTGAAGTAGGAAGAAAGTTCAACAGAGATAACAGAGACAGCCAAAACCCTTCCTCCTAACACATGCCCAAGGCTGTGCCCTCTGAGGAGAAACATCAGAAGCATCACACTATAGGAGAAAAGACTTTATTAAAATAATATACCAAAGTAACTAAACGAATAAATAAGCAAACAATGGCAAGCCCAAGAGACGGAATTTGTATCCAGATTTGCTACAAAATATTACCAAAAATTGCCAATTTTAAACAAAAACTTGAGACATGCAAAGAAACAAGAAAGTGTGACCTATGTAAAGGGAAAAATGACAGCAAAAACTGGTTATGAAAATACACAGATTTTAAATTTAATGGGGTAATGCTTTATCTTCTTATTTCAACTTTTACATTATAAACAAGTATCCTTTTCACAGTGTATTTAGGCTCACATTTTAAATAATTTTTATGCTTTTTATTGGTCATTTTGCTGTTTAGAAAGGTCCCTAAGCATAGTACTGAATTGCTCTCTAGTATTCCTAGGCATAAGAAGGCTGTCATATATCCTATAGAGAAAATACTTGGGTTAGATAAGTTTTGTTCAAGCATGAGTTATAATGCTATTGACTGTGAGTTCAGTGTTAATAAATCAAAATATATATTAAATAAGGTATCTTTAAACAATAATATATGTAAAACAAACTTTTATATTGATTAATTGTGACCAGAATATCATAAGAACCAAACTTTCCACTGTGAGTTACTGGGCTATAAGGACAATGGACACTTTCCAGCTTCTGTTTACTGCTTGTTTGCTAACCGCAAGGCATTATGAGTACATTATGGGGTGCAGAGGAAAAAGACAAAAACGCAGAAACCGGAGTCTCTCAGCTAGGACCTGGAAAAGGTTAGAGCCTATCAGGGGAAGGATGAAGTTAGAATCACTGTGGGGGCAGATGCATGATCAGTGTGTAAACAACTTAGCTATAAAAGTGGGGTCCCTGCCTGAAGAAGAGGCCACTGCTGGCACTCTAGGGGCTCAGACCCTAGCTCGAGCTAGATAATAAAACTCCTTTGGATAATTACAGCCTCGGTGACTCTGTCTCTCTGTCCTGTGGCCCTGTAAATCTCAAATATAACACTACTTCACATAGGATCCATGCTTCGGAATTTGCTACTTCTGTGTTCACAGTAACTTCACAAAACAAAATTACTGCAAATTGAAGTAGTCAATAGCCAGGCCACTAAGATGGCTTCTGTTTTGCTCTAAGAATAACTGCTAGTGGAAAGTCCCTAGAGGAAGTATAGTGGAGGGAGGGTAGAGGGGAAAAAGGGCCTGTTCTCAAAAAGCTCTTGTGTACTTCTCCATGGTAGCTTGTGTACTTCTCCATGGTTGCTTGCTACATCTCCATGGTTACTTGATTGCTCAAACAACAGCTAACTGCTAAGTTCCACTTCTGTAACTGCTTGCTTGCACCGCTGCCAGTTTTATAAGATATAAAAAGGACAGCAAAATCTTTGTTCAGGGCTTCTTCTCCCTCCTTGCATGGAGTGGTGATAGCCCCTGCGCAGGTAAAAATAAACTAATTTGGCTGATTGGATTCTGGTATCCGAGTCCCCTTGACCTGCTGGTTTACAACAAAATAAACATTGAATGTATGTCCAAAGAACTAAAGAAGATTATGCTTAAAGATGTAAAGGAATTTGTAACTACAATGTCTCATTAAATGCAACGTATCACTAAAGAAATAGAAATTACAAAACGAGAACCAAATAGAAATTCTGGAGGTGACAAGTACAATAACTAATTAAAAAATGTAGATTTGAACTGGCAGAAGAATCAGTGAATGAGAGACAGTTCAATGAAGATTATGCTGTCTTAACAACTGAGTGAAAAAAAGAATGAAAAAAAAATAGCATCAGAAAAACACCATGAAGCTTACCAAAATACATAGTGTGAGTACCAAAAGGGAAAAGTAAGAGAGCAAGGGGAGCAAAAACTATTGGAAGAAATAATGGTTGAAAACTTTCCAAATTAAATGGAAAATATATTAATCTACACATTCAATAAGTTTGATAGCCTCCAAAGAGAATAAATACATATAGATCCAAAACAGACATCATACAACAAATGCCAAAAGACAAAATAAAATGAGAAAAATTTGAAGGTGGCAAGAGAAAAACAAATCATTGTGGACAATAAAAATCTAATCATCATCATCAAACTTATCAGAAACAATGGAAGCCAGAAGGCTGACTCAAGGGAGGAGGGGGAGCAAGGGCATTATATATAACCTTAACATTTGTACCCCCATAATATGCTGAAATAAAAAAAATGAAGACATTTCTAGAAAACTAAAAACCAACAGAAATTTTGCTAGCAGATCTGCCATAGAAGAAATACTAACGGAATTTCTTTATGATGAAGGCAAGTGAACACACATGCTAATTCAAAACTACATGAAATAATTGGTAAAGATGATTATATAATTATAAAAAAGCATAAATTCATTTTTATGTTTTTAATTAATATGAGAGTAATTGTGTAAAACAATATGTATATAATTTTATAGGTAGATCTATAGTATATAGTAATATCTTTGCCAAAAACAACACAAAGAAGGCATGTGGAGTAAAGCTGTATTAAGATAAGGAAATGGTGCCACATAGTAATTAGAGTCCATAAGAAATGAAGTGAAAAAGTTATAGTAAATAATAAAGTTAATATAATAGCATCTCCACATATGTACTTGTTCTTTTTGACTTCTTTAAAAGACAAAAATTATATAAAGTATTGGTATTTATATTATAGTTTTGAGATATGTATGATAATATATGTGAAAAAAGGAGGAAACGGGAATAATAGAACTATATATGTATAATGTTCCTCTATCTGACTAGAATTAAGTTAGTGTAAATCTAATGTAGATTATGACAAATTAAGATCTATGTGGTAAACACAAGAGCGACAGCTAAGAAAATTACTTAAAAATACTAAACATTATTAAATAAAATACTGTATTATAAAATAGTCACTTAATGAAAAAGAAACTAGCAAAGGGGAATAAAGAAACAAAAAGACCTGACACATATGTAAAACAAAAAGTCAAGTTGCAAATGTAAATCAACTATATTGATAACATTAAATGTTAAATATGAAGGTTTTAAACATTACAATCAAAAGACACACATTTTCAGATGGACAAAATTATAACATCCAAGTGTATATTTTCTATAGGAGGTTGATATACTTTAGATTCAATGACAGAAACAGTTTGGAAGTAAAAAATATATATATATCATGCAAAGAGCAACCATACAAAAGCTGGTGTGGCTATACTAATTTCAGACAAAACAGACTTGAAAACCAAAAAGATCCCTAGGGATAAAAAGGGATATTTTATTATCATAAAATGGTCAATGCACCATGAAGATATAACAAACATAAACATACATGCATCTAGCTACAGAGTACCAAAATACATGAAGCAAAAACTGATAATGTTGAAAGGGACAAATGTACAATTAAATAATTATAATAATTGGTGCACTCAATACCCTACCTTCTTTAATGAATAGAACAACTAGAAGAAGTCAGCAAGAAAATACATGACATAGGGGATACTATAAAAAACTAACCAAAACTAACAGATCTTATGACACTGTACCCCCAAACAGTATAATATATATGTTTTTCCCAAATACAAGTGAAATATTCTTCAGGATAGAAAATAAGCCTCAATAAATTTAAAATGATTTAGACCATACAAAGTATACTTTTAGACCACAGTGGAGTAAAATTAGAAATCAGTAATAGAAAGAAATTTTAGTAATTCACAAAAATATGAAAAGTAAACAATATACACCTAGATAATTAATCATTTAAACAATAAATAACTACAATGCAAATTAGTAAATACAACAAATGAAATTTAAGACATCATATAATGACACTTATGGGATTCCAAAACAATGTTTGAAAGAAAATAAATAGTTGTAAATACAGACATTAAA